ATTTTTGAAAAGCCCGATCCGGGTCACCGATCCGGTTTTTAAACCATTGGTCTAAACAGATGCTCTCTCCCCATACGTTTGTGTGTTCCTAAATATAACAGGGTTGAGAATGGGTTGGATCGGGTCCGGATCCATCGAGACTTGGATTTAAATTTAAAAAGTATACTTGCATCTTGATATGGATTAAGACCTAATCGGCTGTTGATCAAGTTCTGGATTTGAAGAGTACATGAGATTTAGATCCAGATTTAGACCCAATCGGATTTTAAAAATTATTTTATATCTATAAAATAATATATAACAAAAAATACTATCTATATATATAATATTTTAATTCATGGGATCCAAATTTTGATTCGAATCCAACAATCTGATCCAAATCTTGAATCCATACTTATATCCAGATGGGGTTCGAAAATCCAGGTAAATTCTCAGCCCTAAAATATAGGTTGGCCTTTACCAATGCATCGCTCTCCTTCTTTCTCTCACCTTCAAACCAAACATGGAAAGTATGTAACTCCTTCAAATAATTTTGAAACAATCAAACTTGTTCTAGAACTATCGACTTTCACTAAACAATTATGAAATGTTTTGGTACCTTATAATGTCAAATGCATATCTCCTTTTTCTATTTCACACTAAACTGACCCACCTCTTTCTAAACCGACCAACCCTTTTTCTAATGTGTCTAAGACCCTGGTTTGGTTGTGTGCACGTCAACTTAATGCGCCCCACGCCTATGCCACACCTTATATAACAACCTTAGAGACCAAGCCCAACCAAACCCATTGCACCAATACCTGGACCTAATGGACTCGTCTTGTCTCAGCCGCCTCCTAGTATTGAGCTTTTTTGTCAGCCAAACATGGCTCACGACTGCGGCTGTGACCATGGCTAGGTACACCCCTAGTCCATGGAAGCTTGCTCATGCCACCTTCTATGGCGATGAATCAGCATCTGACACCATGGGTAATATATTGTTTGTATATGTACATTTATCATAGTTGTTGTTGTGATCATTTTTTAAAGTGTCATTGAAAATAGAGGCTATGACCTTTTAATTGAGGCTCAAGTGGTGCTACCACAATGAGTCGAGTCCTATTCTCAATTGTTGTGATCATTACCATCGAAAAAGTACGGTTTTCTTTTAAAGTGCATATAGCTTTTTCCTGTGGCAGCATATACTGTACATTTACTTCTCCAGAGAGCAGGATTAGTATTGAAAAGGAATGGATTTTGAGTTTGTGTTATTTAGATTTGACTATCCAAAAATTAGATGTTTTGTAACAAATTCTTACAATATTATTCTTTTGGGGACCATATAGAATGTGTATTATCCAACTTATTAGATGTTTTGTAACAATACAATATTATTCTTTTGGGGACCATATAGAATGTGTATTATCCAACTTTTTGAAAAAAAAGATTTTGAGGTTGGTTGCTACGTTGAGGAGGATACGTCGCAAATTTGGGGTCCCAATAGGATTTTCGATTTTCACCTGCGGGAGCATGTGGTATTTTGACTTCTCGTAAGGAAATAAGAAAAGGTTTGCATCCTTGTTGTTGTTATCGTTCTATAGATTCTATTGTGGAGTGTAGTATCATGGGCTGGTCCGAGTAACACTGGGGGAGCTCCATGATAACTCGGCCCACCTGATAATAATTAGAAAGAAAAAAAGGAAAAAGTACAAAATTAGAAAAAGAAAAAGAAAAATGAAAACACTATCATATTATTTAGAAATAAGTTTATAAGTTTTTAGATGATTTTGATAGTTTTTAAGATGATTTAGGAAATTTCATATTTTTCTTTTTTAAATTTTTTTTTGTAATGTTTGAGTTTGAAATCAAAGTTTCCAAGAACCCCTCTATCTATATTTTTTTTCACCTTTTTAACCTTCTAATGATTTCTATTACCCATATATATTTTTTTTTTTCCTTTTTTAACTTTATCTCATTTTCTAAGGTCGTAAGTACCGACTCGGTTGAGTTATTTACCTCCGCTAAGGGTGGAGTAGCTTGGCCGAGGCGATTTCCAAAACATCGGTGGAGTGTCTTGGGTGGAGCTCGTTTTGGCCATATTTTCAAGACAAATACGATGAAAAAAAGTCTTATTTCTCTATTTTTTTGACCAATGAAAACAAGTCTTATCATCTCACAACATCATATATGTTTTAATCAGACTTTCAACAATTACCGTGCTTTTGAGATGCAAACGAGTTCTCCACATGGGTCCTTCACATATCAATTCAGAAAGAATATAAAAAACAAATCCGTCCCAACAATTTAAATCGAAAAACCTCATTAGAAATGCTGTTATTTCTTCCATGTAAATGAATTCATGCCATTTTTTTCTTAAATATAGTGAATTCCACTAAAAATTCAACTTCCTCTTTCTTTGAGGTTAATTCAACCCTTTTCTTTCTCCAAAATTTGATCATTCCACTTTCTCAAAATAATAAGAAGACAATGCATGCAACCCAAAGTTTTGTTAGAGCTTTGTTCTCAACCAGAAATTTTTGCCTGTCCTTTCCCAGAACCCTTTCAAAATAAAAAGTTGCAACCATGCCCTCAATTTTTATGATCTACTTTAACATTTTATACAGGGGGTGCTTGTGGATATGGCAACTTGTTTAACACTGGGTACGGAACCTCAACGGCCGCACTTAGCACCACACTATTCAACAATGGGTATGGCTGCGGCACGTGTTTTCAAATTCGGTGCGTGCAATCAAAGTGGTGCTTCAATGGATCCCCCATTACCACTGTCACTGCCACCAACCTTTGCCCGCCAAATTGGTCCGAAGACTCGAACAATGGTGGTTGGTGCAACCCCCCTGGAACACATTTCGACATGTCAAAGCCTGCATTCATGCAGATAGCCCAGTGGAAGGCTGGCATTGTCCCAGTCATGTATCGTAGGTACTTACTTATCCATCAGGCTGTCTCTACTTTGTAGCCTCGTGGTTTGCATCTCTTAGTTTTGAATATCAGGTTCAGGGTTTGAATTCTATGCACTTGTATCGTTTTGCGTAAGCTTTTTATTTCTTATTTGAATATGTCCCTATGCTTGTTTGCACTTTCTAGTGATTTTCACAATGTTTATGAAAAACATCTGATAATAATCCAATCAAACTTAAAAATTAAAAGTTCTTATGGTTGTAGAAAAGCTTTCATCATCCAAATTCTAATATCTATAGACCTAATAAGGTTGGTTATGAGAACTAAAAAAGTATTGAATTTAGAAAACCAGATATTTTGAAACTTGGGTTAACTTTTCTTTTCAGGGTACCCTGCATAAGGAAGGGAGGGCTAAAATTCACTTTTCAAGGGAATGGGTACTGGCTCTTGGTGTATGTGATGAATGTAGGAGGGGCAGGAGACATAGCAAGCATGTCGGTGAAAGGTACCAAGACCGGGTGGATCAGTATGAGCCATAATTGGGGAGCCTCATACCAAGCCTTCTCCAACCTTGCTGGCCAAGAATTGTCCTTTAGGGTCACCTCTTACACGAACCAGCAGACTACCTATGCTTGGAATGTTGCTCCATCTAACTGGCAAATGGGGTTAACATATCAGAGCTCTGTGAACTTTCTCTAGCCTTCCATGTTGGGCTGTTGCATATATGGGTTCATGTCATTGCCTATTTTGTTTTTCCTCTCTCTTTTCTCCTTCATTTTGTAAAAGCCATTCAGGTGAGACATTAATAATAGCTATGGAGACTCTCTCTCTCTCTCTCTCCTCTGTATTTTAGATTCACGGTCAGTCCAAAACTTACGTCACTGGTAGACTAACATATTGTGGAAATTCAAATGTGGCATATAATTACTTACCCAAAAAAATGTGGCATATAATTCTATTTTTGTACTTGACATATCTTTTCAGAATTTAGTCAAGTATCTTCGGATATAAAAACTTTAGGGTTCTATCTACTTAACTGTGTATCACAAGGCTATGAGATGTTCCCATTATCTCAAATACATATCTTCCTACAATGGTTGCGGGAAAATTGTTTGGAATGTCTTCCTTGCAAACCCATACCTTAGAAATGGATATGATTGCATATTCCTAAATATTTTGAAATGTTTGAGGAAATCCCATATCAGAAAATTATGTAACCCAGTGGTTGAAAGCTTCAAAATTTGGAATTTGTGGTAGATTATTTCATTTTATGAGAAAAAGAACTGTTTAGAGATTAGTTCTTGGTCTTTGAAATGATCCACTTGTTTTCCACATAAAACCGCATCTGCAAAATACTGTTGCAGCAAACCAACTTCCTTCTAGTTTATCTATACCCTTTTCATATATTAACGCTTACCATGCTCCCAATTTGACAATTGCTAACTTCAAATAGCAGCCTCTAAATCAATGAAAATTGTGGCAAAATCAAAACCACATTCAGTTCTTGTCAAGAACTATGGCTACAAAAAGCTTCTCGTAATGCAAGGAACAAAATGACAGACATATGAAAGAAATCATTAAGTGTCTTAAGGGACATGGACACAGGTGAAAGGAGTCACTTTTTTCTTGCTTATTTCATTTTTCCTTAATTTGTTGTTGGACTTCATCTACAGATGAGCCCTCTTTGCTTGGAAATGCCTGATACACCTTTGTTAAGAAATACTTTGGCATCCTCGAACCTGTAATTTATTACAGATAGTTAAATGGAGACAACTATGCTCGGGGCATTACTTCCTAAAAGAGAACTGAAATCCTGCTGTCTATTAGATAACAGCTTTATCCATCTAAGATGCCATTATGCTTAGAAGAGTTTGTCCAATTAATCGAGCCTTAGCTAGGAAAAATTAGTTTCTTCATAGTAAGTTTTGTAAACACACTCTAACATTGCATTTCCATTGAGGCTCTTAAAAGAAATTTTCTGTCCTTACAAACCTGAATCTATGGAATTTAATCTCTCAGAAACAATAGTTTCAAGATTTGCATTTCTTGTCAGTTCTTTTTTCCCTCCATAATATGACTAGTATTTGGAGGTTTTTATCTTCATAAAAGAAACTCTTAGAACACTTAAGAAAGTGGAATGGATAAATATCACAAGATTTAGTTATGCTAAACCCAAGTTTTCATGCAAAACGAGAGAGGGTCCAACAATTGCCCCATGTATCAGTGTGTGAGAGAGTTGGAAGTCAGCCACTTGTATACAATGTTCTCAGGATTTATCCAGCTCTATCTTTCTAGACATGAAATCTTATTGGGGTTTGAATAGTGTAATGCCATAAAGATTTGAGAGAGTTGATATTTCAGTAATTTTATTATTCCTAGTGTGCTATTTAAAGCCACCAATCTCTGTGCAGTTCAAATAAATTTGAGAAGCTACAATGAGAAAGAAAATGTTTCAATAATGGAAAGTAGAGGAAAAACAGGCACATATGATAGCTGGGCATTCCAAGTTGGGCTCCTCTGAGAAGCACTCAGCTGGTATATTTGTCAAAACATACCTTTGGTGCTTAATCTAGCCACCAAGAAGAAGGAATGGCTGTCCATGACGGTAATTTCTCTTCTAATTGTCAAGAAGATCTTACCTCGAGGAATACTGATACAACAATGGTAATAGCTCCTTTTAACTTATGAGGAAGCTATGAAGAGCAGTGAAGTTGTAATGCATGCACCCAATCAAGGCTTTCTTTTCTAAGAATCAATCAAAGAGAGAGAAACAAGTGGAGATAGCTGATGCAGATCATTTCAACTGCATCAATAGCTCAACTTATATAACGGGCTGGGAGAGACCAATCCAGGCCTTCTCAGAAAAAGAGTTTGGTTAGGGAGAGATGATCCCACACTGATCATTGGAGGAAAAATCAGTGATTTATTGGAAGATATATTAATATCCATTTTGATCACTGATCATCATTATCTGAGCTTTATCCCAACTAATGCATAAAACTAGTAAGGCCAATTTTACCCTCTATAGCGTTCAAATTTTACCCTCTTTACGAGTTAGTTGGAAACACGCTTTTAGGGAAGCCAACAAAGCTTCTGATGCTCTAGCCAGGGAAGGAGCAAGTCTTAACTCCCCCACGGGGATTATAGGCATCTTTTAAAGCTTGCATCCTTCTTTTCTTTCAGGTGTCGAGCATTTTTTGGGCCGATTAAGGGTTTTTGTACGGGGCACCCTTCGACTGGGTCGCCTGTTTTTTGTGAGGTTTTTGTACAGGGCACCCTTTCAATGGGTCGCCTATTTTTTCTATACAGTCTTGATAGTACCTCCTTTTATATTTTATACAATAGTCAACGAAAAAATCATGTGTTGAATTTCTTCAGCAATGCTACATGAAATCTTCAAATCCAACCTCTCCCTCTGGCAGCACATTATATGAGCAAGATAAACTAAAAAATGGCTTTCAATGTTCCCAGGGTAACCCATTTCCAAATTATAAAATTATACTTCCGTGATTCGTGAACCAGAGTTTCATTTGGGTATTTCTCAGCCTACTGTGGCACTGTACAATGGCCCCTAAACAGCATGTATGACTTAATTTACATATATTCAATCATTGATTTGAACTATACAAGAGGCCAACTGCTTGATTCAATATGAAGAGTATCAACTAAACAGCATGTATGACTTAATTTACAAATATTCAACCATTGGTTTTGAACCATAAAAGGGACCAACTGCTTGATTCAATGTGAAGAGTATCTTCCATCTCCTTGAAACCAAAATCACCAGTAATCACCACAGGAACATTCCCCATCCTTAAAATGGTGGAACCGGTTAGTATCTCTCACAAATATTTCTCTCGATTCAAACCTAGATATGAACTTTATCACAGAATGGCAATCACCACAAGTTCTAAGATTCTTTATAACCCGAAGCTGCGATCCAATAGTTGTGTTCAAGAGACCGAACCCAATCGCCAACTTCTCACTATGGCCACAAAGAATTTGCTCCTTGTCTTGCTCCTCCACATCTTGAAGAACAAAGTCGGTTTTTGGTAGCCAACCTGCCTTCTTCATCTCCAAGCTCAGGCTCTCGATCTTCTCGATGATTTGAGCCATCTGAGGGTGGGATTTATCGCCCGCTAAAAGCAGGTGCACCTTATTCTTGACCTCAATCCAGCTACAACCAGGGCTCTTCCTCAAACCCAACCTCTTCATTTTCTCTCGCACTCTATCCACCCCATCCAATAACCCAACTGACGCATAAATGTTAGAGAGAAGCACATAATTTCCAGAGTTTCTTGGCTCGAGCTCAAAGAGATGTTCAGCAGCTAGCTCTCCGAGCTTCACATTCCTATGAAGCCTACATGAGTTGAGTAATGCACCCCAAACACAGGTATCAGGCTTAGTGGGCATCTCGGTTATGAGTGAGTAGGCCTCTTCAAGCCTACCTGCTCGACCGAGTAGACTTACCATGCAAGCATAATGCTCGGTTCGAGCCTCAAACCCATGCTCGCAAGCCATACTGTGAAAGTATTTCCACCCTTCTTCCAAAAAGCCTGCCTGGCTACATGCTGATAGCACACAAGTGAAGCTTATATGATCGGGCCTGAAACCTCTTTCAAGCATGGAATCAAAGAGCTCGATAGCATCTTTGGCTTGACCATGCATTGCATAACCACCAACTATCGCATTCCAAGACACCAGATTTCTCTTTGGCATGGCATCAAAGACACGGCGAGCTTCCATTATTCGCCCACACTTCGCATACATGTCCACTAATGCGCTCCCCACATAGATGTCAAAGCTTATTTTTCTCCTTATAGAGAAACCGTGCACTGCACGCCCATGCTGTAATGCCGCGATATTCGAGCAAGCAGGGAGAACACAAGGAATGGTTACCGAGTTCGGGCTAATGCCTGTAATTTGCATCTCCCTAAAGAGGTCTAGAGCCTCAAGGTCTCTACCATTTTGGGCCAATGCAGCCACCATTGAGGTCCACGAAATAATGTTAAGCTCCATACCAAGCCCTTCTATCTCCCGAAACACCTGTAATGCCTTGTCAACAAGCCCATTACGCGAAAACCCCGCAACAAGCGCATTGAATGAGCCCACATCCTTTGTGGGCGTGTCCTCAAAGGCTTGCAACATTTCTTTGGCTTTCCCACACGTCCCATACATGTCTAGTAACGCGCTCACCACACAAACGTCAAAGCCTAAACCAAGCTTGATAGTGTACCCATGAATTTGGCGACCACCCACTAGGTCTTCTAATTCCGCGATGGCTGGGAGTACGCTAGAGATCGTCGTCCCGTCAGGGCCACAACCATTTGCGGCCATTTCCAAAAAGGTCCTCAGGGACTCTGAGGCCAGCCCAGCTTGCGCAAGGCCCGCCACCAATCCGTTCCATGAGACCACATTGGGCTCGACCCCATGGGCCTGCATCTCCTTGAAGAGCCTCTTGGCCTCGTCCACGTCCCCACCCCGAGCATATCCCGAGACAATCGCACTCCACGAGACCACATTCTTCTCACGCATTCTATCAAACACAAGCCGCGCATCACCAATTTGATTGCATTTTACATAGGTGTGGACAAGAGAGCATTGCACATAGGGGTCACAAGAGAAGCCAAGGGTGATGGACAGCGAGTGGAGCTGGCGAGCGGGTTCAGGTGCAGGGAGGCCGGCGCAAGCCTTGAGGGCACTTGGGAGGGCAAAATGGTCAGGGATGAGGCCACATTTTACCATTCTATGAAATAATTTGAGGGCATCGGAGAAACGGGTGGCGCGCGTATATGCCGAGACGAGGGAAGCAAAGGCTAAGGCATCCGGTCTCGGGATGGTTTCAAAGAGCAATGCAGCATGCGAGAGGGCGGCATTGCGCGCGTAGAGGTTGATGAGCTTGGTGGCCAGGAGGGGGCGGACAGCAAAGCCGGTGGTGAGGAGGTGGGCGTGGGCCTGTTGGGCTTGGGCAAGAGTGGAGGCCCGGCCCAGGACGGCAAGGGGGTCGGATAGGGGCATAATAGTCAATCCTAGGGGGTCTTGGGCTCTGGAGAAGGGTATAACGGTCATTTTAGGGGAACGGAAAGGGATAGAGGTCAGAGCCGCTTGCCTGGCGGTTGCGGCCATGCTGTAATCCCCTCTCGAATGGGAGCTGCGAAGGGAAGGTGGCCGGGGCTCAAATGGTCATTTTGCGGCCACAGGAAAAAAGGGCGGGACTCGTTTTGCAGCCACACAAATACTCATCGAAAAGTAACCCGCACTGATGGCATATGGTAAGATACTCATTTCGGAGCACATAAGACATTCAGGGCACGTTTGCTTCGCACGCACGAAAAATTAATTTCTTAAAAAATAGATTTATATGATTTAGGTTTCTCGTACATTTTTTTTTTATTTTTTTATAACTCAATTAGATTCCATATAAAATTATTTTCTTTCATTTGGTAACGTGTTTAAAGATCAACCATCTTAGAATTAGCCTATTTCTAACATTAAATTTTAATTATAAATATTATTGAGAAGGCCCTAATACTTATCAGATATAACAATGTTAAAAAAAAATTTAACATTTAATTTTAATTATAAATATTATTGGGAAGCCCTAATACTTATCCGAAATAACAATGTTAAAAAGTCTTATAGTGTACAACCCCTCAAAAATCCAATAAAGAAGGGTGCTATGAAGTTGAAGAACTTTAAATTGATCAACCTCGACATGTACGATTGTAAAGAAAAAAAAAATTTCAAATCATAAAAATAATGCATCTTATAGCAAATTATACAGACCATCCATATCCATAATTTTTCAAGTCATTATAGTGTTGAGTTTTAGGCTTAGGAGGCAGTGAGAGAGAGCAATGTCTAAGTACTAGAAGCTTAGGGGGTTGCATCGGAGAATGGGGGTAGTTGAACCAAACGTGTTTAAGACGAGTGATTTCTGATTCTGATCTCCGATTTGAAGGGCAACCGTTTCAGATCGAATCAATTCTAAGAAGGTATGTTTCCCAGCCCGGCTCTATCTTAACATCGGAGATGGGGAGTGGTTGGTACCAAAAGTGTTTAAGACGAGTGATTTCTGATTCAGATCTCCAATTTGAAGGGCAACCGTTTCGGAGCGAATTAATTCTGGGAAGGTATGTTTCCCAGCCTGGTTCTATCTTAAAACCCCACTCATGTGTATAGGACCTCAAATGATCATCATTAAATCTAGTACAGATCTCTAGAAAAGTTATCATATGGGTGTGGGAG